TAGAAGTAAAGATCCTTTCGCAGGGATGGTAAAATGTATTTATGGTTTTTTCGCCGCCCCCGGGGGGGGGGGGGGGGGGGGCAGATAGAAACCATCCCCGGGGTTGGGTACGAAGGGTTTTTTTGGCCCACTACAACTGACCTCTCTGTGCGGCACACCGTCGCACGACGAACTCGTCTTTCGCGCGCGTTTGACCCAACGCCCCTCGAGGAACAGCAGACAAGACGTCCGGCTCTATATTATCAGCACGCCCGGACCCAGCGTACTTTCCGTGGTCGCTGGAGATAGGAGAGAGAAGCGGGTGTCTCTCGGACCGGACTACGGCAAAGCGTGTGTGTGCGCCAGTTTTGCCACGCTTTTCTCTCACGCAGTGGGGGGGGGCTTCTTAACTTTGCGGGTAACCTGGCCATGAGCAACAAGAGAAAAATGTCTCTGCTTTCGTCGTTCGAGAACATCTCACCCCAGGTCATCAGCCGGGTGGGACGAGAGATTCAAGACCTCCAGCGAAAGTGAGTCTCTCTCACAAAACTCGGCGAGATTTTCTCGATTCCACACACCCCATCTCTCTTGCTCGCGCGAAAAACCGGACGTACACGGCCTGTACTGCTGTACCGGCGGGAGGAACGGCTTCGGGCATCAAAACCTTTATCGGCTCTTGAAACAGCGGGCCTAGTGAGGCGTGTTTGTTTTCTTTGGGCAATCGGCGTGAGGAACCAGAGTGGTATTTACTGATCTTTGCCCGCGTAGATGGTTTTAACGGGTTGTTGTCGTCGCGCTACAATCAGGCGGCGATTTTACGTGTGTACATAGAGATGAAACCCAACCGCCGATTGTTGCAGCCCCTCTTTCCAATCTCTCATCAACAAGAACGCTTGTCCCCCTTTTTTTCCCGCCACTGCGCTCCCGCCCTGTCCACGCACCGTGATGGGACAACAGCCCTCCAGACGGTATCCGCTTCTTGCCCCAGGAAGAGGACACCATCGCTGAAATCCACGCGGAAATCAAGGGTCCAGGCAAGTAAAAAATGTGTGTTTTTATCTGCTCTCAAGCAGCACAAAGGGGGTCGCTTTTTCCGCTTTGCCGAGGGACTGGATCGGGAAACACCACATGATGAGAGACACCAGAGATATGCACAGCAGTAGGGGAGGCCTTTTCCTACCGGGAACAATAGTGTGATCAGCCACGTCTCACAACCGTTCCGGGCAACAAGCGTGTGCCTGGGCTTCAGCTCGTGCGTAATAGATGCGAGGCGAAATCTCGGACGAGTGTTCGGGTACCCCGCCGCTGCCGACAACAACCGAGGGCATACAATCACATAACGTCCCTCCCTCGGTATTCGGAAAAGGGTCCCACCAGCGAGCTGCTGCTGCTGAGTGCCACCCTTTTGAGTCCGCTCCTTCTCAACCAGATTTTGTGAGCACCGTAGACGTAGGCGTGCTGTTTCCTGTAGTTTGACCACAGCCTCGAGATGTACGTGTCCATGAAAGTAAAAGGCGCGGCGCTACTTCTACAAAAGCAGTAAACCGCGATAGAGCGATAGAAAATTATTTCTCGAACACCTTTCTCCGCCTTCCTCCACTCGCACGAGATCAACGAGACGCGCCGGCTACATTGCCGTAGTTGGCGACCGCCGTGCAAGGTTGAGCGTTTGCTTTTTTTTTTTTTTTGGGAGGGGAGGATGGGGGACAAGGCACTCCGAGACACAGCAAGAGAACGAAAACACCTCCGCATTTCTCATATGTTGGATATTTACAAAACAAATAGATCTAGCGAGAACACGCACTTGCCACAAACGATGGTGTGCCACTGAACTGAATGCAGAGATTGATGCTCCTGAGAGGCACCCAGTTGTGGAGGCTTGTTTGTGCAACACAAGTGAGGTATGGCGACACGTGTGCCCCTTCTCGCGCGAACGACGCGCAACGCAGAGAAACTTGTCTTGGGGTGGAAATAATTTTGTTCAGATCGAGGCCTCGTCGCCCTGTTGTGATACGTACACTGTACCAGAAGTATGGGTACCCGGAGGTCAGAATGTCGTATGCACATGTATACGACGGTAACGACATGAAGATCCCTACAGGTGTAGGACGAAAAAGAACACAAGGGGCGGAGGGTCTGGAGGCTCTTGCAGCACACTAGTGTCGTTTCCCGGCAGGCACTTGGCGCTGCCGTTGTGGGACGCATTTGTGGGCTCTTGTGCCTTTCACCCCCACTTTAGTACCGGTGGGAGCGAGTGTAATTTAATTATCCAATGTATGTCCCGAAAATGACCAGCAGTTCTTGAGACACATTATTTTTGTGTGGATACATCCCAGTTAAGGTTTCCATTTGCATTCCAACAACGACGGCATTGGTGCTGAGTGCGACCGTATTGCCAAAAGCCGTATACTCCTTGTTACAAAATTAAATGTGAAAGATCTGAAATTGGTAGATGAAACTCGCCCGGAAGTGGAATGGTGGGGAGCACAAGTATTTGGCTTGGGCTCAAAACTAAGATCAGCTCTAGTACAGGTAGATGCTTCGGGTGCTTCTCTCGTCTGGGCATGCATTGAGCCCCGACATCTGTACGCCCACGGGTGCGGTGCGGGCATATCTTGCTGCTGCTGCTATTGCTGCTGCTATTGCCATTGCCAACTCTACCCTCGTTTTTCTCGACAGGATGTCGCACCTGCCGCTCTGTGTGCCGATGTACGCGTGTACTGCTGTAAGAAGATCCCTCTTCGCCCCACTTCCACCCTGCCTCGTTCCTCGACATGGTCGTCAACATGCTCGTGCCTCTTGCGTAGGCGAAGCTCTAGACCCTCGGCTAAGCAATGTTTGCTACAGCAGTGTAGCGTTATGCATGTTAAGGTCCTTGGTACGCCGTCCAGAAACCGCGCTCTTCTTTGGCACACGGAGGCGTTTAATCCCGATCCCCCCTTCTCGGCGCGCAAGCTTGTGCGCCGCTCCGCTACCTACGTGCAGCCTTTGAACAGACGGTTGCTGCGTGTCTCCCCCCCCCCCTTCTGTTTTCCTTACTTTCGCCTCGCCCGTGCGCTTGCGTTCCGCCCCGCGTGATAAACCCCCATCCCACGACCGACGCAGTCGGGACTCCCTACGATGGTGGGTCCTTCCACATCAAGCTCGTCCTGAGCAACGATTTCCCGCACTCGCCGCCCAGAGGTTTCTTCCTGACAAAGATCTACCACCCCAACGTTGCGCCGAACGGTGACATCTGCGTCAACACGCTCAAGAGAGATTGGACGGCGGAGGTTACTCTGACCCACGTCTTGCAGGTAGGCGGTGGGTCCGTTGCCGGTCGGTCACTTGCGGTTTCACGTTTCGTTGCGGTATCCTACATGCCCCGAAGTGATGCCTCCTCGCAGTCAATAAAGGTGTTCGATGTTTGCTCACCACATTTGATTCTATCCCTTCCATCGCCCATGCATGATGAATGTTTACATCTGCAGCCTGTCCGATGCTCCTGAAAATGATGGTGCCGCATCGAGGAGGTTTTTATTGTGTGTATTTGCTTACCCCCTGGTATCGACTGACTCCCCTCTTGCCTCCTTCTCTCTGTTTTTTTTTTTTACGTTGGCCCCAGGTAATTCGATGCTTGCTGATCGTCCCCTTCCCGGAGTCGAGTCTGAACGACGAAGCCGGACGGCTGTTCATGGAGAGCTACACCGAGTACGAGCGGCGCGTTAAGGTCTGGGTGAACGTCCACGCGTCCAAGTCTCTGTCGTCGGCCCCGGACGGGGGGGAGGCAACCAGCGGCGGCGGTAGCAGCGGCAGCGGAGCGGCTATCAAAGGAGGCGTCGTGAAGGCGGGGGGGAACGGGGATTCAGGAGCGGCGGTGGCAGCGACGGCGGCACCGGCGGCGGCGGTCAGTGGGAAGAAGGCGGCCCCATCGGGCAAGAAGGGATCCTCATCTGCCAAAGTGGCTGTAGGCAGCGGCGCTGCGGGCGGGGTGGCCGGTGGCAAGCGAAGGGAGGACGCGGGGGCGGCGACGGCGGCAGGAGCGGCGGCGGCGCCGAGGAAGACCGTCAAGGACCGTCAAAAGGAGGCCAAGAAGAAGGGGCTCAAGCGCTTGTAGTGAAGGCGGGGCGTGCCAGCTGCTCGCTTCTGGTGATGAAGTTTGTTGCTGCTGGCCCTGGCCTATAGACAACCGGGAGCTGCTGATGGTCGTTGTTGATTGTGGGGCTGGTCGATGCTCCAAACAGGACGCTTGCTTCAGTGCGCGTTGTCCCTCGAGGAGCGCCGCCGCGGTGGGGTGCGGCTACAGCAGCGGCGCTTGAGTTTACGCCCGCCGTGTCGAGCCGTGGGCGACCGGCGGGCTGCACGGCCGGTGGCTCGTGTTTGCCGACGCGGGCTCGGGTGCGTACATGACGTCGTTTTTTCTTTCTTGTGTGTGTGTGTTGCGGAGGAGACAGATCGAGGCGTGGCCCATTCCACGTGTCTTTCGCGGGTTTGCAGTGGTCAGGTTTGGTCCTTGTTTACAGCAGTGCCGGCTGGCCTGCGAGGGAGAGAAGCGGACGACATCGACCTGGGAGATGAAGAATGAGCGCAGATGGGCATCTCTTCCAGCTCCGCACCGCTCTCGATCCGGGCTCTAAGTTCGCTTGTATTTTGCACTTTCACGTACGCAGACGACCTTTTTTTTTTAGTCTATCGCGGAAGGTAGGGTAATTTGACACTGAGTATATAATAATAAAACCTCTTAGCTCTTGTGGCATGGCACCATGGCGGTACTATAGGGTATGTATGGTTGATATTTTTTTGTGCGTCGGGCCGTGGTTGGGTTGGGTTGGGTTCTTGTTTTCCGTGCCTGTTTGGCGTAATAATTTTAAGGGCCCTCGTCTTGGTTACAGTAGCTTTTTTCTCTGAATGAAGGTGGCGGGTGGCAGGTTGAACTGCCTGTAACCTGTAGGTGACTTCTGCAAGGGCAAGGGGCGAGGGTTGGTAAGAGAGACGCGACTCGATTCTTAGCCTCTCGCGTGGCTTCTCTGCTATTGTAGGGTGTGTTTTTGTTTTGCTCGTTTTTCTTCTTCTCAAACCGTGTCGGATGGTTCTTTGTCTGTGTGCTCATCAGAACCTCGAGAGGGGAGGGGGGGTCTACGGACTGGCTAGGTTGGCGGGGCGCCTGTAGGACGAAGCAGCTATCGAAGTCACTCTCTTGTGAGACCACTTTTCGATAGGTGGGGAGAGGGCTGGTGCTGGGTCGAAAGGTTTGAATCTCTGACAGGAAGAAATATATTGTTCACTCAAAACATTTTGTTACTCAAAACAAGGAGAATGGGGAGGATGTCTCCCTCCTTTTCGCGCTTTTGTGTGTTTCGAGTAATGGTTTCGGGGGTCGATCACGCTTGCTCGTCGGGAGATTTTTATCTGTTTGTTCTCTTGTCGTTGTGGTCGTCATTTTTTTTGCCTTCTGTTTGCCCGCCGGAAAAAACGCGGATACGCAGCGATGGCGATAGCCCTCGGTTTGGCTTCTTCCGCGGGGAGACGTGGCAGGCGAGCGTCTCCTACAAGCAGAAGCCTACAGGAGGTTGATGAGCGAAGTCAGGGACACGCAGCACGTGTTTGCGTTTTGCGTGTGCGTGTATTACTATCTTGTCTCGTTTGCCTGGAAAGCGTCGGCGGTTTGCTATTGGTTAGGAGTACACGAGGGACATCGATTAAGTAGATGGGGGGCGTCTGGGAGGGG